CCACTGAAGGCTAATTGGAAGTCATAAGCGCGTGTCCTCAGCTGTTGCAAAATTATGCCAGTAAGTGCAGTAGGCTTTGTTTTTTTACATCAGCTGAGAATCTACTTGGTAGGGAAAAACAAGTGGATGCAGCTGCAGCTCCCTGCCTCGGGAGCTGCCTCTCTTTCACAACTGGTTGCAGGTGGCTGGAATTTGGTACTTAAAAAGAGTTCTTTCTTCTCTAATGTATCTGCTGAAGTTTGTTCATCTGCTCTGTCTGATGGCTACCCAAGGACATGTAACCCACCATAGAGGTGAAATGTTCTATCTTAGAAAAAAAGATTACCTGATCATAAACAGAATATTTCCTCTCAGGCAGTATCATGTGGCAAAAAAAAGATAAGATTGAAAATGTGATCCCTTTTTTCTTCAAGTAGCACAGTGTCACTCAACAGACTTAATTATCCCTGAAGACACATTTTGAATTGTTGGTCTGTCAATCAAGCCACTTATTAGACATGCACATGATGTCACATTACAGCCTAAAAAATTTTCCTGCCAGTCAAAAACCTTTATATAGATCAATCTGATTTCAGAGGCAAGTCTTGTGTGTGACCTTTTACCCGTGTTTTCTGGGTGAGAATCTGAGAGGAGCTGAACAATTTCTGCGTGGTGACAGGCTGGGGCCATGGGCTGGAGCCATGGCCAGGAATTCTGCTCCTGGCCATGCTCTGCTGTATGCTGGCATGCTCCGCAGCTCTCACGGTGGGAAGGGCTCTGATATGGGAGGGGAGTGACCTGCTGTGGACCAGAGTACAAATCTCCTTCTGCTTGGGAAGCTCCAGGATCACTCTTCACTGAAGTATGTGCACTGGGTTTTGAGACAGTGCAGTCTGTCCCACGGGGACTGCGCAGACCCCCAACTGCTACCATGGCTGCAGACACACAGCAGTCTTTTGGCACAGGGGGAGATCTGGGAGCCCTTGCCAGGAGGAAATAATCGCTTTCTCAAGGGAGAAAAGCAAAAGTCCTTGCACATCTGTAAGGAGCAGATACCACACTGACAGATCAGTGAATTTGCTAGCCTATAAGTAAGGCTACCAAGAACGAGAAGTTACGCACCAGAATATGAAAGGCTGGATTTCCCAGTCTGAAGAGCTGTGCACGTCATCCTCCATTCTCATAATCCTAGGCTGCTTTTCTTTTTCTCACCTTTATGAGCAGAAACGGCTGTTTACAAGGGTGGATAGTGATAGGACAAGGGGGGAATGGTCTTAAAATGAGACAGGGGAGGTTTAGGTTAAATATTAGGTGGAAATAGTGATGCACTGGAACAGGTTGCCCAAGGAGGTTGTGGATGCCCCATCCCTGGAGGGATTCAAGGCCAGGCTGCATGTGGCTCTGGGCAGCCTGGTCTGGTGGTTGGTGACCCTGCACATAGCAGGGGGGGTTGAATATAGATGATCATTGTGGTCCTTTTCAACCCAGGCAGTTCTACGATCCTATGATTCTATGATTCTTTGATTCTTTGACTCTCATAATTGGAATACCACCGTTGAGGTCTGTAAGCTTTATAGAAGGGGCAGACAAGGTAGAAGGGGTAGGGGAGTTGCCCTCTACGTTAAGAAGAAGGGTAGACTGTGAGGAGCTGATTCTGAGAAAGAGTCACAGCCTATGGATTACGATTAGGGACTGGGCCAAAAAAGGACATCTGGTGCCTGGGATCTACAATAGGCTGCCTGATCAAAGAGAGTCTGTAAGGTGAGGCCTTCTTGCTACAGGGGGCATTGCACTTGCAGGCTCTCATCTTGTTGAGGGATTTCAACCATTCAGATATGTACTGGGGAAACAACATGAGGGGCTGAAAGTGATCCAGGAGACTTCTGGAGTCGACCGATGAAAGCTTTCTGGTTCAGGTATTGGACAGTGCAACCAAAGGTGAAGTACTACAGGAATTGGTGGTGTCTGATGTAGAGCCTGAAAAGAGGTTAAGGCTGGAGGCAGTTCTGATTGTAGTAACCACATCCTGGCTGAGTTTATCATCTCAAGGAATATGAGTCTGGTAAGGAATGGAGTCAGGACCCTGAACTTCATGAGAGTTAACTCCAGGCTGTTTAAGAAATTAATGGATGAGAATTACTGGGAAACTGTCTTAGTTACAACAGAACAGAGTTGGCAGTTCTTCAAGGACACCTTTCTGAGAGCACAAGAGCTCTCCATCCCCCAGAATAAGAAACTGTGCAGACAAGGCTGGAAGCCAGCATGGATGAGCAAGGGCATGTTAATCAGGTTGAGGGGAAAAAAAGAGAAAAGTGTAAGCAGTGGAAGTGGGGATGGTGGCCTGGGAAGAAAATAGGGATGCTGTCTGGATGCACAGAGATGGGATCAGGTAAGTCAGGATGCAGACGTGAGGGATGTGAAAAACAACAAGAAGGGGTTATTTCTATACAGTGGGTAGAAGAGACAGGCAAAGGAGAATGTACTCTCTCTAATAAATGAAAATGGAGAACTGGCATCCTCAGACATGGAAAAGGGTGAGGTACTTAATTAGTTTTTGCCTATGCCTTCTGTAGGAGACAGGATTCCTACACTTCTCATATTCCTGAACCTGAAGCGGAGGTAAGAGTGGAGAAAGCACCTCAGGGCTCTGAAGGAACTGGCTAATGTGGTCTCCAAGACACTCTACATAATATCTGAGTAGTCTATCATGGGAATTCCCCAGTGACTGGAAAATGAGAAACATCACTCCTATATATAGGAAAGAGAGAAAGGAAGACCCAGGGAAATGCACTCTGGTAAGCTTCGTGTCTGTGCATGGGAACATCATGGAGCAGATCCTCCTGGAAGAAATGCTAAGGCACAAGCAGAAGAGGAACATGGTCTGCTAGTGACAGGACAATTGAGAATGTTTTTAAATTAAAAGAAGGGAGATTTAGCTTACATGTTAGGAAGAAACCTTTTACTCAGAGGGCAGCGAGGCACTGGCACAGACTTCCCAAAGAAGCTGTGGATGCCCTATCTCTGGAGGCATTCAAGGCCAGGTTGGATGGGGCCCTGGGCAGCCTGAGCTGGTGGGTAGCAACCTTGCCTATGGTGGGGCTTTAAACTAGGTAATCTTTGAGGTCCCATCTAACCCAATCCATTCTATGATTTGGTATGATTAGCCCATTGGGCTGGAACCTTCTAGAGCTAAAAAGTGAAGGTGTTGTCTTCCTGTTGATCTGGCTGGTAAGTTGGAGCCTGGAGGGACCACTCCTCATCCCACTGGTGTCACAAGCGATGCTTCAAGATCAGCAACAGGATACAAGATTCAAAGATGTTATATACTCTTACTTAACCAATGCTTCCTCAAACTTTATGCACCAAGTTTCAGCGCCGCTTCAAGTATTCTTTGAACTTATATAAAAGGAAATGGCAATGGCTGAGGCTTTCAAGGTAATGCAATTTATCTTCTCAAAATCAGCTTTTTGGGTGTCAGGCAAAACAATTCCACAATAGCTTGAAAAGATCATGTCTGGCATTGCTGAATTTTTATTGGTCTTTAATGCTACTTGAAAAGACCAGGCCATGCTGCAGTGTTCATTTTTCTATTGATTTTTCAGACAGTTTGATAACACAAATGAAAAAATGCCCAGAATAAGACATCTTTCCTAAAGCTGAGGAACTTTGGAGGAAGTCACACAACAAGTCTCCACTTCAAGTAGTGCTTTAAGGGGGCTCCTGGATGCAAGTTTGAAGTCAGCAAAAAAAAGTGTCTGTAAACAATAAGAAAAAAATAATGGCTTCATATTTACAGAAGATAGCTCTTCTTTAAAGAGCAGTTAAAAGCACATCTGCAGGGTAAAGCAGCTTTTCAAGGCTGGCAGTGCAAACACCATACTGCAGGTCCAGTATAGGTGGCTGAATGCAGTCTTCCTCACAAAAAAGAGGATTGCTCATTGCCTTGTTTCCAGTTCTAAGGCGGTTCAATACTTCCAGGTGATCTTCCCCAGAAGAGAAAGATTTCATGTATCTCTAGTGGAAGTGCTGTCTGCAAATGCATCAGTGATTGGTATGGCTGGAGGAGGAATGGCAGAGGAATGAGCCCCTATTGGAGAAGGGTAAAGAGAAGTGCAAGCCCTTTCTGCAGAGGAAGCAGGCTGCACTTGGTTCCAATTTGCACAGCTGAGGAGGTGGCTCTGTGGAACATCCCCCTGCCTGACCTCAGCAGTGTGCCACCAGCAGCTGTGATTTTTCAGAACTCTGCTCAGTGCATGAGCTGCTGAGCATCCTTGCTCCCACCAGGGGTATGCAGGTTGTTTACGGACTAGCTGGAGCTTCTTTCCAAAAGAGCTCTTGCTCAGAGCCCTCTCTGAGAAAATGCGTCTCCTTGTAGCCTTAGGTTGAAGTTTTAGACTGCTATCCCTTCTCTACCCATAGAGGAAGGGGAAACTGGGAGACCAGGAGCGGCCTGCAGGAAGCCCATGGAAGACCATAAAGGCTGATCCTTCTGCCTCCCTGGTCCAAGAACTGCAGTGATACTAAAGCGCACGGCATCAGAGGGGGCAAAATGTTGCGTGACTGCTTTCAGTCTAGTACACTTTTCCAGCATTTCTGTATAAGATCTCTCATGAATCCTTATCACCATCACTGGTGAGTTAAAGAGACAATGTGATCTGGCTCTGCCAAACTTTTTCTTTCTAGGATAACACCATCTGCTGGTGGCCTATTTCTGGAGATGATTTCCACCTGTTTGTATATTTGCTACACGTAACAGAATCCTTTTCTCATAACAAATTGCATCACGTTACAATATGTAATTCTATACAACTATTACAGTCTTTACGGAATAATATCCAGGGACCTGGGGATGTTGCCTAGTAGGGCACATCTTCATTGAGAGTTATTCTTATCACTTACAAACAGAACATCCTGACTTAACTCAAACACCTTTTATTACAGTTTGAACTAATAACAAACAAGAACAAAGAAAGCTCTCCATGCAAAGCAAAAGCATGACAACCTGCCACTGAGGACTGCAGACATTTGGAAGCATGTTTAAGCAGAAGTTTAGACATAGATGTATTTCAGTCCATGCACAGATTAGCATTGAAATGGATTGTCCTTCTCTGTCCATGCCTGGTCAGAGGGTCCCACTGCCTCCTCCTGTGCCACATTTATGCAAGGATTTGGATCTGCATGAGATGAAGTCATTGTTCCATCGGATGACTCACATGATGAAGCTGTACCCTGGGATCTCATCATGATATCCTTCACAAAATCCTTCTCTTATGGGTGCCAGAATAGTGAAGGCATTTACCTTTCCTCTGAAGAACTGGCTCTTCCATCAACATTTAGAGCAGCTCGCTGACTAAATCCCCTATGCATTTGAATAATTTATCAGATGAACAAATTAATTTGTGCTGAATGAAGAGCTGGACTGCTGAGGTGCAGAAATGCCCACACAATGGAATGGAAGCTGGGGAAGTGGGGAAAACAAACCCATAACTGTGGCACACAGTGCCATCTGCTTGGGTGGATAAAGGCAGTTGTGGCCATGTCTGAAACACAGGAGAGCAGGGAGTACAGAGCAGCATCCAACAGTTGGGTTAGGATGAGTAGAAGTGTTTAAGAAACAGACAAGTTTCGTGACATGGAGAAAGATATTGTTACAGAACGACTGAAAATTCAATTGCAAGTTTTACAACTCATTCCAGATTTTCCAGTTCAGAAGCAATGTAAGTAACATTAATGTTCCTTTTATATCACACCGACAGTTATGAAACAGAAATCTTAACTCCTGCCAAACAATCTGCCACCCCAGGCCTGGACTGGGAAACTGACAGAGGTGTATTACAACAGTGCAAAGGCTGAAAATACTAACAGCCAGACTTCAGGTAGTGTAAGCTGCCTTTGGTCCAGCTTACACCAGCTGCTGATCTGGTCCACAAGAGTTTTGCAGCTGTAGCAATTGGAGTGATGATGGTTTGTGTTCACCAAATGCTAATGAGCACTACCTAACTAGTCATGGTTCATTGCATTTGTGACCAGAAGACCGATTTTATACAGCATCATTAAAATCCTTCTTCTAGCTGTTCTTCAAAGAAATCGTTACAAGCCACAGTCAGAGTTGCAACCAGAGTCATAAATTCATTAAAATCCACTTCATTGTCTTTATTGGAATCCAGATCGTTCATAATCTTATCAACAAGATGAGGATCGTTTTGGCCCTGAAAAGAAAAAATAAGAAAAAAAACAAAAACAAAGAAACAAACAAACAAAAAAAACTGACTTAGCTGTGCAGATCTTGAGTGCATAATTACAGCAAACCAGATGGTACGTCACAGCCCAGGTGCTATGAAATAAAAGAGTGAGGGAATTATGCACCTGAATACTAACATACCATGAAGCATAACATTAAAAACACAGATCTGGAGTCCCAGAGATGCACAGTAACAGAAGCTGGAGACTGTGCAGCTCTTAGGAGAAATACAGGTACTAAATGGGTACAGAAATGGATCAAACAGATTTGAGGAGCTACTGAGCACTGATTTATTTTGACAAGTCTGATCTGCAATGCATATTTCTCTACATCATTCCTAAAAAACATGTTCATAAGTAGTTGTATTATACCTCCACTGATCACATTCAGAAGGTTTCTACTTAACAAAGAGCACATCCTACTCAGTGAAAGTAAGGGCAGCCAATCTCATAATAGTAAATCAGTAGCTAAGACTAAAAGAAAATCCTATTCAAGGAAATGGAGGTATAAGGGTATGAAAAAATCCTGCTGACGGTAATGGGTCTCAGAACAATGCTTACAGTTTAGAGGCTTCAGAAAAAAACAGTTATGAATCAAATTATCATTCCATAAAGCATCAATGCTGCATAATGAAGAACATAACAAGAAATGTGTAAAGAAATTCATATGAAAGGCTGATCACGGGGAGGTTTTCTTAGAATCTCTCTGCAGGGCAGACAGGCAGCTGTATCGTTTGCAGTTTCCCACAAACGTGTGTAACAGCTGTCTGTGATGCAGTTATAAGCCTCTAGGAATATGAGAGACCTTGGATCCCACACTACATGACCATGGTATGCAAACTGCTTTCTTGTCTGCTGAGAGCTAGTTGCTGGAATTGATTCTTTGAAGGACATATTCTGCCTTTTCAACTTTCCACTTTTCAAATGGGATATTTGATCTCATCTCCTTCTCTCCATCTCTCAAAGACAACTGTCATCTGAGAGGCTGTGGCACGATGTGCGCAGTGTAAGGAGATGCTGTTCCTGAACACTTTGATAGATGCTTATCCCACCTGAGAAACAGAAACTCAGAGACTCAGGAGCTGTATCTTACAGAAAGGAAGTCAGTGAGCTCCCTGGTGAGGAGTTCCTTGAGCTCTCTTTTGCTCAGCTTGTATCTGTCACCTTCTTTGCCAGAGTAGTGATGAAAAATCCTGATGAAGGTGTTCATGGCATCCTCCAGTGGAGTGGACATGGCAGGAGCAGGAGAGCTGTGGGGCAAAAACCCAGAGTCAGCAATGTGGCATAGGAGCCAAAGTCATGACATGGAGAAGGGATGAGAACTAGCTGAGGATGCGCATTGTCACCAGTGCAGAGAAAATGAGTCTTCTGCTGATCCATCCTACCATGTGCATGTGAAAAGGCTATGTTATTAAAAAATAGCAATAAAACTGGGGACTGGAACTAGATCACAGAATCACAACTGTAGGGGTTAGAACGGACTTCCAGAGATAATTGAGTCCAGCCCCCCTGCAAAGCAGACCCCTGAAGATGAATGGCAAATGAAGATGAAATTGAAATCACTTCCAACCCAAGCCATTCTCTGATTCTATGAAAATAAAATATCATCCTGAATTCATTTGCATTTACCTCTAAAAGGTACAGAGAAAGGAATGCTCTTATTTAAGAGAGTGTTCTACTGCAAATACACTTGCTACAAAAAGAAACCTCTTGCACCCATAGAAGAAAATTCAAACATGATGAAGGCACCATGCTGCTCATTCAGAAGTTTCCACGAAAAATTAGAATCAACAGAAAACAGCAGCTGAAGGAGACATGAATTTATACAGGATGCCCCTGACATTTCTATGGTGGTTGGAGGAAAGTCACTGATTATAAAAATGCGCAAGGGTATGGGCATCAGTTTTTGCTTTATTTGGTACTGGTTTGAGATGTTTTTTTCTTTCATCTCTGTAAATTACTTGAAATAAGCAACTATAAGCTATAGGGCTTGTTTCATCAAGCATGCAGTAAGAAAAAAGAAAGGGAAGCACCACTAAAACAGAAAAGACAAATGTAATGTAATTCATTAGTGAGTAACTGACATTAAAAGAACAAAAACAAAAAACTGTGAAAAATAGAAACAAAGTGAAAGGAAAAGGGAAATATTGTCCTGATTAAGCCCCAGAAGGGAGCTTAAAAAGGCAGAATGAAACTCAAAGACTGGAGTCATTGCAATGGAGCAATATTACAATGCAAAGACCAAGACTTACCTGCTTTAGAGGTGTGGTGAAGTGTTTGAAGATAAACACTCAGCTCAGAGGGTGGTGGCCACCTTCTGTTCAAAACCCACACACAGGCTTTTGTTTATCAGGCTGAGAGGGTGGATTACACATATAGGGACAGACGTATAATTGTCACACAGACAGGTCTTCTGTTTCGCTCTGCAGTTGCCTACTGTGCGCTGTAAAAGTCCTTGCTCTAGATAGGTCACTTAAATATTCACCAGGCCGCATACAGGGTTGTGTGTGGACACTCAAGGTTTTTTTTTATCTTTTAACCTGTTACAAAAATATATATCCAGAGGCCTGAAAGTAAAAACTAGTAAATACAAACAATAAATGTAAGTCTGTATGGAATAACGTATTCCATTTTCAAAAACACCTTCTTAATCTCTCCACAGTTCTACAGCAGAGAGCCAGAGTGCCTGGGCACTGGCAGCCCATCCTCAAGGATACTTCAGGATCAAATGTAGGCTTGTAGTTGAGTTTGCACCAAACCCTTTGACACGTTTACTGTCAGATGTCTCAACAAGCTTAAAATGCTGGTCTTGTCAGACAAAGTTCTTGCCATAGAATCATAGAATCATTGAATCATAGTATCAGTTTCAGATAAAGATGTGGCTAGAACTGCAGTGCGCTCAGATCTGTGGACTTGAGTTAATTTCTGTCAAGTCAGTTGAACTGAATTCCAGAGACTCTAAGGAGAGCACCCTGGGTTTAGCACACAGCTTCTTGCTTGAGTTTGGTTTCTCTCCAAAAAGTTTTCCACCTGTTGCATATGCATATTCATCAAACAAAATTGCACAGAAGAACAGCTACAGGAAACACAGCTGTGGCTACTTCTCTTTTTTATCCCATCCTGGAGGACAGAGAAGGAGGTGGGCTACACTGTTGTTTCTGAAAGCTTCCAGTCACTCATAATTTTAAGTGCCCAGCAGATCTCAGCCCACACCTCTGTCTGTCTCCTCTGCCCCCAGATATGCCTCTCTCATCTGTGCTGCTGCAAGAAGCCTCCACAGCGGGAGGGGTCTTGGGCAAGGACTTGTCTGATGGGCAAGGATGTGTTCTGGGAAAAGGGATGCCACACAAAATGCTGACTCCAGCAGTATGGGAGGTGACTGCACGTGAAGCTTTGCTTCTGAAGCAGTAGGCAGGCTCATTTGGATAGAGGTCTCTGTGGATGCACACAGCAGTGCTTCATTTCCTATCTCTGTGACTGTGATTCTCACTGGGCTAGGAGGAGGAAACACGTCCGTTGGAGGACAGGTCCTAATGAAAGCCAGCCTGGATGTTGATCCACAACAAAAAGAATCTATCAGCCCTGAAATCAGGTGAGTTCTGGGGAAGAGTGCCCTCCATTCCCCTTCTGTATGTGGTGAGGGATGCTTGTGGTATCAGCTGCATTGCAGCTGTGCATGCACTGTGCCATTGCAGATGCTAAGAAAAAAATATATCAAGGGAGACTGTTCTTTATGCATCTACAGACATGAAGAGCTGTGATTCGCTAATGACAACAACTACTGTTCAGAAATATTATTCAAACAAACAGTAAAACACCTTTTTGTTGTCGTTATTTATTCAACATCTTCACCCACAGCCAGAAAGAAACACAGCTAAGTCAACACATATTTATACAATCCTCCTGTTTTTCTATGTATTAAACATATCCTCTGCCTTATGAATATTGCAAGTAATTATTTAAGCAGAGTCTACAGGAGGTGCAACTTTCAAGCAGCTCGTATAGTCTTTCAGAGCTGCTATCCTCAGGACAGAAGAAAGAAGGGCTTTCTCTGTTATCTCCAGAACATCAACTCAATAATTTACACAGTGATGCAATCTGTGTTGTCTCTTTCACTAGCTACTTTCACTAAAGCTAATTGTGTAAGGAACTCTCTATCCCATGCTGGAGGATTGTATCTACAGAAGGAGCAGCTGCACTGAGCTTGTTTATTAACATATCCTTTCATTTGTTCTGTCCACCCCACTCCCTTTCCAGCTATTAAAATCCTGCTGTTGGCTCCAGTGACAGCAGGGATCTCCCTGCTCCTCTAAGGGCAGATCCCAGAAGCTACTCAAAATTCATGATTATCAATCCACTATTTTGAACTCTTCATCCAAAACTCTTGATAATCATTTTTTGATATGCTATCTGATAAGCACTGAAGATAACTAAGGGCATTGTGGCCTGAGAGAATAGCATTTCTGTATCAGGGCAAGAACCAATTATATGTTAGTAGCCACCACTTCCCCACTGATCCTACCCTGCTCTCTGGTTTGCGCCAGGGTGAGCAAAGGAGTGGCGCCAGGGCAGACACATGGCTGACAGAGCAGAATTGCAGTGATTGGAGACATAGAAAACATTGGTACCTTCTTCATTAGTGTCCAAACTGCCCATGCCTCATCCCACCTATTGCTCAAAGTAGAATGGTTACCAGATGAAGTTAGCTATGGGTTTATCTTGCTAAATCTTAAAAACCTTCACGGACAGAATTTTCAGAGATTCTTAGGTAACCTACAGTTCTGCTGCATTACCTCCCTAGAGAAGATGTAATATTCAGTATGGACATCCCAAGTTGTGAACATGGCCACTGGCCGCTCTTATACTGTCACCACCACCAAGAAGTGACTTCACTGACATTATAAATTATCTTCAAATACTCATTATCCCTCAGCCTAACTCAAAAATAAACCAGAAAGCAGCCTGTTGCCTGACTTACCTAATCTAGTTCCATGTTTTAGTGTATACTATATGTCACATGCTGGCCCCTTGCAGACTGCTCCAGCTGTGTCCTTCTCCTAATGAATAAAGTGATATTAATGTGCACACTGCAGTATTAAAGACTACACTGCAAAATTAATGGCTGTCAGAATCAGAAGAGCAGATTTTCCACACGGCATGTCAAAACTTCTACATAGGACTGAATTCTGTCATCTTTGGTTAAGCATTAATACACACGAGCCTTACAGAATGAGTAATCCATCCGATTGTTCACTGGAGGCTGCTGAGAGATGAAGGCTTTTTCTTATTGTGTAAATTTGAGAAAAGACCAAACCAGCTATGAGTGATTCCTTCATTTCTAGTCAGAGTAAGCTAGAAGTACACATTGTCTCTATGGAGTTGCACCTTCCCTCCTCCATGGGGATGAAGCACTCAGACCTCAGGCAGAGAATCTTAATGCTGTTTTCTGCTCCTTAAGAATGACTGATACAAGTCAACAGCCCTTCACTTCCACAGACAAGAAGGAGAGGTTTTGCCTTCTTGCATCACAGTGATTTTCCCTTTGGTCTCTTTCTGAAGCAACATAATAGAGGATGCTTTTAAGCCAGAGCAGCCTATAAAGTGAGAGAATAACCTGCAATAAAATACTGCTCAATTTCAGTGGGAGAATCTCAAACTCAGGACATCTGTTTTTCAACATTTGCCAGAACACATGTGGGGAATATTTTCTCACAAGTAATTATTCTGCTGGGAAAGACAAATCAGCCTCCCACCCACATCCTGTGATCATTTATTTTCCCCAGATTCACACCACTTTTGAGATGCATGTGTTCTGCATAAATGTTGTAACCCCAAAGTGGCAAAAGGTGTGATTGGAAAGAACAGGCAACTCTGCAGGACTCAGAGGGACAGATAAACCGGACAGTAAAAAGCTTACACTAGATTAACTAGCCTAGATTAGAATAAAGAGCTTATTTCTATAGATTAAAGAGTTTACAAGAGACTTACATTTGAACCAGTATTTCATGTTATATTGAGCATTTTTACATTTTTAGCATTGCTAGCATTTTCATTTCTGTTATGTTTCTGTATCTGGCTAGTTGACTGATTTGTCTCATTACATCAGGCATAAGTCTCCAACAAGCCTGGTTCACATCTCCAAGACTTTAAACTGCTGTAACCACACAGATAGCAGAATACCAAAGAGCTGGAGCTGCGGTGGACATCCTGTCCCTGAAGATACTCAAGGCCAGTGTGGACCAGGCTCTGGACAACCTGATCTAGCTGTGGATGTCCCTGTTCACTGCAGGGGTGCTTGTCTAGATGACCTTTAAGGGTCAACTCCTAAGGATTCTATGATTTTGTGATCCTGCTAATAGCTTTTATGACCTAAATTTGGTGATTTTCTCTGTACAGATCTTTTCTGAGAAGTTACACTTCAAGGACTGCCCAGCTCAAGTTTACCCTGATCTCATTATTTTCTGAGGCCCATGCTG